GTCGGGCACGGTCCCCGTGCTGTTCTGCTTCTCGGTCTTCGCGCGGCCCTCGTCCGTGCCGCACGGCGCGGGCTACGAGCTGCTCATCCAGAAGTTCCTCAGCCTGTACGGCGACCAGCTCGACATGCACCGCAAATTCGTGGTGCAGCTCTTCGCGGAGGAGTGGGGCCAGTACGTGGACCTGCCCAAGGGCTTCGCGGTGAGCGAGCGCTGCAAGGTGCGCCTCGTGCCGCTGCAGATCCAGGTGGGTGCTGTGGGAGGGCCGCGCGCCCTGCCGCTCGCTGCTCCGGGCCTCCGCGCGTCCCTGTCCCCGCCGCGCTCCTCAGGTGCCCCGCGCTTCTCCGGCTCGGAAGGGCCGCGCCGCTATCGCAAGCCTTGGAGGTGGCCCAGAGAATGGGCCAGTCCAAAGGCGACGGTCACCAGCTGTCCGCGGTCGAGGCGGGGGCGTGGGCTTCCCAGCTGGTGGCGGCGCGCGCAAACGCCCCCACGTGTGTGGTCCTCCTCAGCTGCTCGCGTCTGCTTTGTGTACTAGGAGCGAGTCCCAGCCCCCTCCGTAACCAACGGGCTGTGCGGTAGTGGCTGTTTTTTTATTTGGGGATGATGCAGAATGAGGGGAAAGAGATTGTGGGGAGTAGTGGTCTTAGGGTTTGTTTCCCGGAGTTGCGGCCACCACTTGCGGAGGCACAAACTTCAGAAATCAGACCCTTTCCTTCTCTTCTCCCCGGGCTTTCAGTTCCTTGACCTTAAGCCTTCTCTAACCTTAAGTGAAATAACCGTTTGCTGAGCCTCTTCCTAGTACCCGTCAACTGAATCTGTTGATTCCACATGCGCCTCCTTCGTTGAAGTCTCTTGACTCCAGGACTGCAATACCCTTCTTAAATATCAACTGTAGCTAGACAATGATTTCCTGCTCATGCTGAGAAAGTTCCTATACCTGAGGATTATTTTATAGCTTTTTAATGTTTTTTTTTTTTTTCTTTTTAAGCCATGCTCTAATACTACGGCAGATAGGTCTCCTGTCCACTTTGTATTCTCAGAAGATTCACTGGAGGATTTTTTTTTTTTTTTTAAAGAAGGAACATAAAGATATATTTTAGTTAGGTACGACACCATCAACAATTTTTCTTTAGTTGAGGAACTGATAAGCCATTTCTTCGGAAGGCCAAACTGAAATGTGGGATTCAGAGTTAGAGGCATTTTAATATTCAAGTACTGTTTTCTGAAGACTATTCTCTAGAGTTTTTTTTGTTTTGGTTTGGTTTGGTTTGTTTTTTTCGCAGCTATAGTTGGCCTTGGAATTGGCTTTGTTTCCTATCACCACAGCACCCCTGCCAGAAGCTTCCAAAGCTGATACTTTAACCTGGATAAAGTTCCTGTGTTCAGGGAACAAAGGCTTTGAAAATCCACTGCCACCCTAGGAGAGCCTAGAGGGAGGCAGATGGTCTCTGATAGCCTAGAATTTTTTCTGTTGTCCATATAGAGAATTTGTTCAGTTGTAGTTCAGAGGTGTTTACGACTCCCCATTTTTATGTCTTCAAGAATTTTCATGACAGTTAGAAAAATAGTCACGGGGATATAAAGTACAGCATACGGGACATAGTAATATTGTAATAACTATATATGGTGCCAGATGGGTGCTAGACTTATTGGGGTGATCACTTTTTAAGATGTGCATAAATGTCTAATCACTGTGTTGTACACTTGAAACTAATATTATATGTCAACTAATTGAAAATTTTTTTTAAATAAATAAATTTCTAAAAGTTTTCATGGCTGACACCTCTTTGCAGCCTTTGTCACTCTGTTTAGATTATTGCTGCCAAAATAACTAAGAATTTGGATGCACCTTTGGCAAATCCATTAATAAAGGCAAGAATCCAAATATTAACTGAGGCAGTCTAGGGCCGTCCTGAGGATGCCGTCCTTTGTGATGATTTCCTGTAGTGGTTGGGAGCGAGGGTGGGCTGTTACCTAATAAGATGTTATGCCAAATTTGCACCAGCCCCCCCACACACACGTATCTGTAAAGTTTAATTATTTAACCCCCCAAGATAGGATTTTTTTATTTTAAAAAATTCAAGGCCTGGGTCTGACAACTCTTTTAAATTAAACATTCTTCAATTTAATAATGTATACGTGTATACTTGAAATGTCCTATCTGTTCTCTTAAAAGGCATTCTATAATTCAGGTCACTTGTGGCTTTTGAAATACTTTGTTTGGTATAAGAGATAACAGTTAATTTTTTATGCTGATGTTTAAACTAATTATAGTAATATCACTACTCTGTTCCATCCTTTTAAAAATGTCATTTTTTTAGTCCAAGAATATATTTTTAAATATTTTTAAATGTTTCTTTTGTATATCATTTTAATAATGATAATATTTTGATTTCTTCAGCCAGATGCCTCCCTAGCTTAAAAATAGATAATGTGGAGGGACACACACACACACACACACACACACACACACACACACTCACACACACTCACACACACTCCCACACACTCCCACATATATCCATATACCTATTCTGATACCTATTTATAGCTTTATGAAAAGATATACATATGTGTGTGTATGTGTATACTCTCAGAAAGGAAAGATAATTCTTTTCATGATCATTTTACTATATATTTTTGGAACCCAGCTGTGTAATTCTAGAGATGTGGACATTTTATGGTTGGACAAGACTATAGAATTCATTTTACAAACATTTGTGTTGCAACTGTAAGTGCTTGGCACAGTGAATGCAAACATGAATAAAACCCAATTCTTGTTCCTTACCTAATAATCCAACTCTTTCATTTTGCAGAAAAGCAGAACATACAGGGAATTGCCCAAGGTTCCATGGTAATATTGGAGATAGGAAAATATGTAAAGGTCCTCACTTTTAGCTGACCATACTATTCATATTCTCTATGCTTAATGAAAATATCAAGCAGAATGGAAACAGGCCACAAACTTGAGCTTGTAATATCATTTGCTTTGTTTTGCTGTTCATCGTTCTTTGGTGTAGATGCCTATCACATAGGAAGACTCGGGTGGCTCGTTAGTGAGGCTGTGCTATTGGGATGGCAGGCCCCTTCTCCCAGAGGCAGGGACAAAAAGCACAAGTTTGGCTACATATAGTCCACTGCTTAAATAACATGATTTGTTTTTCCAAATGTAGGCTTTAGAGCCTTTGTGGTCCTGTATCATATACTATATTGTAGAATGTATTTTTCATTTACATAGGGATCTGAGTTTGCTTTCATGCTTGTTCTTATTGCCATTGCTAGTGATGTTATGAAACACAATGGTTGCTTGTGCCACACTGTCTGCACCCGTGTGTGGTTAGTGGCTATATGGGGACTGATTTTTAAGACCTCCTTAGCCAGCACTAGGCTATAGTAACTTTTTAGTGTCTTTTATGAAACATTCTGTCAAGTAACCAAGTGTCTGCGGCAGCTCAGGTTGCTTAAGGCAGGTCCTGTTTCAAGTGTGGTTTATGTGTCTTTACTTTGTCAGAATGAAGTCTGAGGAATTTTGAGACATAGGAAGAGACGTAAATGAGAGGATTATGCAGTGGAAATTTAGGGCATTTTTATGACTTACAAGTGTTAATTTTTCAAAAGATATTTCCCAAGTTTTAACTATTAAAAGTATTCATCTCTGGAATCTCTTGTAAATTTGTTATCATACCAGCACCAGTGTGTTTTCTAGCCTGTCACCAGGGAAGGCAGAGCCCAAATAGAAGAGAGGAAGAAATGGACATTGTGAAAGGTTGCTAGTGAGAGGATTTTGCTTTTGTATGTAGGAGGGAAGGCTCTGACAGCTTTATGTGGGGGAAGGTAAGGGCTTCCCTGGAAAGGTTATTTTGACCTTTTCCAGTGATGATTAATTGGGAAGGGATTCAGCCCCAGCTTTCACTTTCTTGGAAGTTTATTACTACTGTTATTATTTTAAATGGGCATGGATATTTTATATTAGAAGAGACCCCAGAGTTTATGATTGGAATGGAGAGAAGGCAGGGTTTGGAAAGAAGAGGGAAAGGAATATGTTCCCCCTTGGGCTTGCTAGTTTGAAAGGGGTAATTTTTGATTATGGAGCCTTCACCATGAGAGCGTGTAGGAAGAACAGGTAGAAATAAATGTTCTTTTTCAGCCTAAATTAAAAACCCAAAACCTCTTTTGCCAGGAACAGATCATGTAATGGTAAGTCTTTTGGTGACATTTGGAAATCTACTTTATGACTCACTTTAATTCTGCAGACTTAAGTTAGGCAGTAGAGTGAGTGAGTGTGTGTGTGTGTGTGTGTGTGTGTGTGTGTGTGTTTAATTAAAGGATCTTAGTAATAAATGATATTTTTAACCTCATTACAGAAAAAGTTTTTTTAACACGTGTGGATCTTCAAGGTGTAGTGTATGTTTCCTGTATGAGGAATATCACAATACATTTATTCATTGATTACATGAAGCTCATTGAATCTTGGAATAGCCCTGTGAGGTAGATACTATTTTTCTTGCTTTCTTACAGATTAAAAAACTGCTATTTGGAGATGGTAATGGATTTGCCTGATTTCATATCATTGGAATTAGGGAAATTGAAATTCGAACTCAGATTCTAACATTCACAGGCCACGCTGTGTAGGGAGCCTTGTAACCCAGGGGAGTCATTTCACACAGATCTCTATTTTAAGTGAGTCAGTATTGGAGCGAGGTCTTAACTATAGCTTTGGTAATCAAATTTCCTTGTAAACCCTTCTGAGTGAAATAATTACCCCGTGTCCTCTTCTGGACTCTCTCCCAAGCAGATCACACCTATTTTGTGACTGTAATAGACTACCAGAATTTTGAAAAATCACATTTACAGTTCCAAACTTTATTTCTAAAGATAAACACTGTACTCACTAAGTAGTTCACTAGGGGCCTGCTGTCACAAAGGACCACAAATTTAGTGGTTTATACAACAGAAATTTATTTTCTTGGAGTTCTGTAGGCTAGAGATCAGGGTTGGTTCCTTTGGAAGGCTGTTAGGGAGAATCTGGCCATGTCTCCCTCCTGGCTTTTGGTGATTTGCTGGCAATCTCTGGCATTGCTTGGCTTATAGATACATCATACTGATCTCTGTCTTCATGTTCACAAGTCCTCTCTGTCCAAATTCCCTCCTTCTGTAAGGATGCCAGTCATGTTGGACTAGGCACCCACCCTACCCCAGTATAACCTCATCTTAACTAATTATACTTTCAGTGATTCTGTTTCCAAATAAAGTCACTTTCTGAGGTACTGGGGGTTAAGGATTCAACATAGGAAATTTGGGAGACACAATTCAACATATAACATTCATCACATATTACTCTTATGGCGAGAACAGAACAGGTGCCAGTGTATCACTAAGCAAGGCCAGCCACCTTGTATGTTCTGTCCTGAGTAACCAGTGGGACTGAGCAAGAGAGGGGCTGATTCCTTGCAGGTGTACCAGCCATTGTTAGAAAGTGGCCAGAGCATCTGTGGTAGCGAAGGAGGGTAAATACTGTCATGATATTGGTAATAATGGAACTTGGGGATGAAAGTCTTTTGAATATGAAATCTAAGGTCGAATCCTAGCTATGACAATTCTTAAAATGGACAAAAATTTTGTACTAGAAATTGATCCCTTAAACTTTTGCTTGAGGAAGCCAATAACTGTGATCAACTTTTCATATTTAAAGATATATATTGAAATGTATTATGTATGTATATTTGTAGGGATATGTATAGATACATAGCTATATGAAGGCGTGTATGTATACACATATAGTTTTCAATGTGACTTATTTGTGCTTCTTGAATACGCATTGATCTGTAATTACTACACTTGTAATGGCACTTGGTCAAGTCCACTTTTAATATGCCATCTTGCAGTTGCAACATGTAAATGTTTGACTGTGAGTAGCATTTTTAGTTATCCGTAAGGTTTCGTTTTAAGAAAAATTCATGAATGAAAGTAAGAATTATAGAGTCAGTGTGTTATTTAACAGCAGCTTTTGGAATTCATTTAGATTTGGAGTGAGGTGGCAGTGTTGCTTAGACATAAAGTTAGAGTTTTTCAGAGTGGTTTTTTTTGGGGGGGGGAGGTGGTTTTTTTGTTTTGTTTTGTTTTTTGTAGCCTCAGAGCCTTTTTTGGCTTGTAAGTATGGAGGTTATTCATAAACTAGCATCTTTTTCCCCAAACTACCACAGCATAGGGAGACCATTTTTTTTAATAAACTTTTTTATTTTAGAATAGTGTTTACAGCAAAAATAGCGCAAAAAGTTTCTCTCTACCTGTATCTAGCTTCCCCTCTAATTAACATCTTACATTACTGTGACATATTTGTTAGAACTACAGAACAAAGATTAGTACATTACTGTTAACTGAGCTCCACACTTCATTCAAATTTTAACAAGCTTTTCCCTAATTATCTTTTTCTGTTCCAGGATCTAATCCAGAGTACTAATTACATTCAGTCCTTAGGCTCCTCTGGGCTATGACAGTTTCTCGGACTTTCATTGTTTTTGATGATCATGACAGTTTTGAGAAGTACTGGTCAGATACTTTGGTAGGATGTACCTCCATTTTGGTTTATCTGATTTTTTTCTTATGTGTAGACTGGAGTTCTGGGATTTTGAGAGGAAGATCATGAAGGTCATTCTCATTACATTATACTAAGGCTGCATATTATCAGCATGACATCGCTGATTACCTTAATCTGGCTGAGGCAGTGTTTGCCATGTTTTTCCACTGTAAAGTTACTCTCCTCCCTCTGTACTCTGAGGAAGCAAATTACAAAGTGCAGGCCACTTCAAGGGAATGTTGGGAGTTAAACTCCAACTCCTTGAGAGGAGAATATCTAGGCATTTTCGATCCACTAAATTATAACCAGTCATCTCTGTATAAAAACGTGCCTTTCTACCCTATCTCTGGTTTCTTTCTTTGTTTACTAAAAGTTTATAGATGATGAGTTCCTAGACTAGAAAGGTTTTGCAGGGTGGTAGCCAATACGACATGTATCTGATGTGGTCCCCTGCCGAGAAAAGGACACCTCACTGCTGAGATGAGGTACAGAGCAACACCAGGTAACAGGAGGTCCAGCAGTCCACAACTCTGAATGTTTAGGATTTCTGGGTAGGTAAGGTTTTATTCCTTCAAATATCCAAAATATTTTGGATATTTTAACCATTTTATATTGTAGTTCTGAAATGTTATATAATTTAACATTTTCTTCATGAGTGTGCTTAAAATGGTGTTGTCTTAATTTATAAGTTACGTACAACTTGTTACTCCCTCACTAGAGGTCTAGATTGTAGAACGAGGCGAGTTTTGATCTGCTTTTATTGTACTTTGAATCTTGTCAGCTGTCATTTCTCGCTGCTATCAGTTTGTCTGTCTCCAGCAGTTTTTTTTCTCACTTGCTGTTTATAACTTTTTGTGAATTTAGAATCCAGATAACCAAACTCGTCAGGAAGTATACAGAGTTAGTCAGTATGTCTAAGATAAGATGGGAGAGCTGGAGATCTAAGCAAATATAAGCTGTAAGTATGTGTTAATGCATGGCCTTCCAGCACACTGATGCAACTGCCCAGGAGTTTTATTTTGCATGCTTGCTGGTTTTCAGGTGTTGAGAGGGTAGAAGGAAAAGCACCATGGACTTTTTAAGATTCCAGTGAGATTAAATTCTTATATTCAACAGTGATTTTCACTCTTTGGTAGATCCATAAGGGGCCCAAGTTGTTAAGAGTAGATCAACAACAACAAATAACATAATGCTTGGTAATCAGATACCCAGTTTTCATCTTAATTCATTGACTTTCTTGGTTGTGATAAGCATGTTTAAAAATGCAAATGTCAAATTTATGTCTGTTCGTTTAACAGTGGTGATGTGCTTGGCATCATTTCGTTGCATTTTTGTGAACTCTACGAAGTTAGTCTTAAGAATAGCATCTTAATGTTTCTGTCTTAGCGATAGCAGTAATTCTAGATTTGTTTCCATTTGCCTTTTTAGTTTTATGTTCCATGGTCTCACTACAGGTTATTTTAATTTTTACTCTATACATGTAAGCAATGCCACCATCATATTTAAGTTTTTTACTGTTGTAACATTTTTTCTGATTATAAAAGTAATACATATTTTTTTAAATAGCATTTGGAAAATGTTTTTAAATAGCATGTGAAAAAATATAGGAAAAGTATAAAGAAAAAAATGTTACCAACACCCTTAACTATATAACCATTTGTTATTATTTTCATATATTAGCTTCTACTTTTTATTCATATTTTTACATTATTGAAGTACTGTTAAACTGCTCCATTTTTAAAATTAACATTAGATTATGAGCATTTCTTTTTCGATGGCATGGATTCTTTGAAAACATATACATATAGTGGCTAAAAATGTTTTGTCATGTTAATGTATTAAAATTTGTAAAATCATATCTATATTGTTGGTCCTGTGTTTATTGCTAATTTTCACTATTAAAAGCAGTTTAATGACCATCTTCTTGGATAACTTTTTTCTGTAATTCAGATCATTTCTTTTGGAGAATAGTTGTAGAAATTGACTTACAAAGTAAAACGGTAGGAACATTTTTCTTCTTTTAGTGACCTCCACTGAAAATAAATGTCATTGTATAATGAATGCTAAATCATTCTTTTTTCTTTTTTCCTCAGCTCACTACCTTGGGAAATCTTACACCTTTAAGCACTGTGTTTTTCTGCTGTGATATGCAGGAAAGGTTCAGACCAGCCATCAAGTATTTTGGGGATATTATTAGCGTGGGACAGAGATTGGTATGCTTGTTAATTTTTTCTAATTTACTGAAGCATGATAGACATTTATGTGTACACACATATGTGTATTGTTAATGGTCTTTGTGGTTTTTATTTTGTTTTTCAGTTACAAGGGGCCCGGATTTTAGGAATTCCGGTTATTGTAACAGAACAGTACCCTAAAGGTCTCGGAAGCACTGTTCAAGAAATTGATTTAACAGGTGTAAAACTGGTACTTCCGAAGACCAAATTTTCAATGGTGTTACCGGAAGTAGAAGCAGCATTAGCAGAGATTCCTGGAGTCAGGAGCGTTGTGTTATTTGGAGTAGAAGTAAGTACCTTTTGTTAGGTTTTAGGCATAATATCATTTGTAGAAAACTTGATTCCAGAGTGCATTTTTGTATATAGGGTACCGTGTAGGTGGTAATCGTGATGAAAAATAGCCACCATTTATTAAGCGTTGACTGTTTACATTGCACTAATTGAAACACTTTGTATATACTAATTCACGAAACTCATAGCAACCCTCTGAGCTGTTTTCTTGGTCTTCCCGTATTATAAATGAGGAACCTAAAACAGAAGCTGTATAATTTACCCAAGGTCATACAGATAGTTGAGGGATGGAGCTAGTTTTAAATCTAGGTTGGTGAATTCTTGGCCCTGTACTTTTAACCACTACTTCTGGAACACATTTTCACCAAAGGCATTATTTTTATTTATGTGTTGTAGGATTTCACCTTGGTCATATTTTTGCTCTAGAAAAACCTTAGAAGTCATGTAGTTGTTCTTCACATTTGAATCATATACATATCTTTTTAAAGGAAAAAAATGCTCATGGATTCCTAATACTGATTTAAATGATTTTTTGTTTGAATTGTTTTTTTGGACATGTACAAACAGAATATAAGTATTTGTTTATGGCTTGTAAACAACTATTGAACTGAAATTTAAAAATTATGAAATAAAATAAAAACAATGAAATCCAAATAATAATATTAATTTATATACTTACAATGTTTCAATAGTAGGTTTTATAGTAGTAGGCTTTAATAGTAGAAAGATACAGTCTCAGGTTTAGATGTATGTTAAATATCTGTATTTTGACTTCAGTGACAGTTTAGAGGAAGCCTGTATGTATAAACATGTCATGCCAAATGCTGACTTCTGTACTTCTTTTTTGCTTGTTTACTATTATTGGACCTCATGCCTAAAGAAAATCATCTTTGAGCAGTCTTCCAGTGCTAATTTTAATGAGGTGTCAGTTGATAATTCTCCAAAGCCCTCTTGTCATGTAAAGATAATGTTGGCATCATGGCATAGAAGTCTTTGCCATGGTCGTATAATCCAGTTGTTGTTGAAGCGTGTTTTTACTTTTTTTTTCAGCTAATGATTTGTTACCAGTTAACACTTATAAAGATGGAACCTGTATAATACATTTGCTGGTGATGTATACTGGGTATTATAACAACTCAGTTTTCTCACTACGTTCTCAACCTGCAGTACTGCAGACTCATTCAGAAATAACCCCCACTGCGAGTGACGTCAAAACTGAGTGGTAGTAGTCAGCTGTATAAAGGTCATCCAGGTGACAAAGAGGAAAATCTTTTAGAAAGTTCTCACAGAGCTCTAGGAGTATGGTCAAGGTTCCCAGTGTACGGAATGTTGATGTAACCCAATTCCTCACTTTACAAAGAGGAAACCAAAGCCAGAGATGCTTTTTATGCCCAAGATCACATAGTGAATTAGAGGCAAAACTGCATGTAGGACAAGGTCATTAGACCTATAGTGCTCTTTCTGCTTTATCATGTGGTTCCACATTTGTAAAATTCTTTTAGTTTACTGCGTTATTACATGTGATTTTTTTACTTTCCTACTAGACTCATGTTTGCATCCAACAAACAGCTCTGGAACTGGTTGGCCGAGGTATTGAGGTTCATATTGTTGCTGATGCCACCTCATCAAGAAGCATGATGGACAGGATGTTTGCTCTTGAGGTAATTGTCCTGCTTTAAAATAAATCATTTATCAGATTTTCCAAATAAATTTGAAGAGCATCAAATATTTTACAGCAATGAAAGATTTACTTCTTAAATTTGAGCTTGGGCAAACAGTATCAGATTCACTGATTTCCAGAGTCTGGGCTTGTTTTGGCTGACCTTTGAGGCCTCACCACCATTCCTGTTTTATATCTTCTGTCTCCTTCGATCTAGATTACTAGTAATGCCAAAAGCTCCTTATATATTACGTCATAAGTTTTCTGTAGTTTTATGCATGAACTAAGAGATATTCCAGTAAGCTTAATCTGAACCATTTAGAGATTTGCATATTAAAACAGTTCACTTAGGTTTAACTCAGCCAAGATCTCACCAGACCTAGAGTGTAGTAGGCCTGGTTCAACCTCATTAGGTTTCCCCAGACCTGAATTTCTGAGAATAGGAGGTGTGTCACAGACTGTAGACACCATTCTCATACAGTGTTTCATGGCTCTCTGCACTGGAGTGCCCAGATGTACCATAGAGTCAGGGAGTCAGTGATTTTTTGTCAATGTTGCATAGCAGTGGCCTGACTTAAGCAAGTCCTATTTCAAGACTCAAAAAGCAAACTACCACATAATCCTTTGAAACGTTCACTCCATATCGGGATTTGTTCTCTCTGTGTCTCTCCCCTCCCCCCTTAATGTTTAATTCTAATTCTGTAATAATTTTAGAGTGATATACATGTGGATTGAGTTGGCGAGTTCTTTAACTGGTTATTTTTATTGAGAATCGGAAATACCGAATTTTTTTTTTTAGACCCTCCGGTGTGTTCCATGCACCAACTGGCCTATGAACCACTTTCTCTGTAGGATTTCTAAGACATCTTTTTAGCCTAAAGTGTTCCCTAGGATGGTGAAGTGGGGCAAATGAGAAAGAGAAGGGAAAGAAGAGTAAAGCCAGCGGGGAGGGCTGATGCAGAAGCAGGTGGGTAGATGGCAGCAGCAGTTGGTTTAAGGCCCCAACTGGCCATCCCTTCTTTATTTTATTCCTGAAGCAGTGAGTCCTTGTTTGGGATTACAGGTAGAAATAGCTTTATTCATTCCGTTTAACTATTTTTAAGCCCATTTGGCCTCTTGGGTTCTCTGGTAGTTAGGTACCAAGTATTGCTTTTTCCCATCTCAGCAAAGATCTTTAAGCTGTTTTTACAGCCATGAGTTAATCAACATCTACTTTTCAAATTGCCTTAGTAATCTGAGCTTAAACACTTCCACTATCAGATCCTTATCAACTCAGCAAGCAGTTCTTTTCCTCTGTGGATAATTTATCTTTCTGGTAATGCTGAAATCCTAAACTTGGAGTGTTTTTAAGGAAGTGAAAACTAAAAACATACAAAAAAAAACAAAAATCCTCTTTGCTTGTAAAGACATTTCAAGGACTTTTGTTCTACAGTCATACATTTTTTAGACATGTCTTTATTATGGCATTTATCACAGAAGATTTTGATTGTTGGTAATTCTGTCTTCTCATAAGAATCAGAATAAAAACATAGCTGTTTACTATCGGAACCTTGTTCTTTGAGAGGTAGTCTGTAATTTCAGTGAATCAGAGTCTAAACAGTGGAGGAATAATATGGATTTGAATGCCGGTTCTGGCATTTTGTAAATCTGTGCCCTTGGACAAGTTATCTAATATCTGTGCCTCAGATTACTTATTGGTGAAATAGAAATAATAATAGCCACTACGTGGGAGGATTTTTGTGAGGACTGAATGAGGTAATGTATTGATAGCACTTAGTACAGTGCCCAAGATGGTAAGCATTCAAGTGTTAGCTCTTGCTTTTATTTTTACTGTTGTTATTTGTTGTTGTCTTCATGAGGTTAGTTTTATGAGAAATGTGTAAACATACATTAGCTTCCAAGACCCAGAAGGGACTAGTCCTGCGAAGGGCTAAGGAAGAAAGAATGTGGTCTGAGGTAGGTGGCTCTTGGGAAGGGCCTGGAGCAAACAGCACTGCCTTGGGTTAAAGTGTTGAGGGTGAAATCGGGTCAGGTGGTGATGGAGAAGATAGGCCACATTTCTGATTTTTTTCCTTAGTCTGGATTTGATGTAGAGGTTATTTTAGTTTGCCCCTGTTTATTGAGAGAAATATTAAGTTTTTTTTTTTTTTTTAAATTTTACGACTATGAAAGTTAAACGACAACCTCGCCAGTTCCCCTTCTGTGTTCCTTTAGAACACAACTACTGAAGATAATTACTGAGACCATCCATATTGCCTTTTAGGATTATTGTAATAATAAGGTTTATAGTTACCATTACTGAGACTTTTCTGCCAGGATCTGTGGTGTGTGTTTTATTCAACAAAAATTTTTGAGCATCTGCCGTCTGTCAGGCATTGTTGCTTTCAACGAACAATTGTAGAGTAAATGCAGGATAAAATAGAACAAACTTGATATCCTTGTACTTCTAGGGAGTTGTTAGTGTTTAGGAATTGAATGGGTTTGTCTTTTTTTTCCTCCTGCGCTCTCTGAGGTTGTCATGGCTTTGTGCTCTTGCATTTTTCTGTTTGTGGGTCAAAGTAATCTTTCCTTTGGCCTACTTGGGCTGGTGTTGCAAGTGCAAGGGAAGAATTTTGGAAACCTGTTAGTCATGTACTGTGTTAAACAGCCGGAGTTTTAATTGCCCCTTTTAAAGTCAGGAAGGAAAGTGAGCATGGGACCAGGATTGTCGGCATCCTCCTAGCTCAGGGTGATGGGGAGGAACCAGCCAGTGTCTGGAAAAGCTGCTGTTCTCACCGTGCTCAGGCACCCGTTTGAGTTGGGGCTGAGCAGGCACCGTGGGAAGATTTGTGAGCCTGATCTAAAAACTTTGCTTTTGGTGAGCCACGCCTTCCCATAACACAGGTTCTTGGCTTGATTATTTTTTATTTCTAGTCAGTATTGGCCATTTCTCATCTTGAAGCTAAGTAATACTGTGTCGGTCTCAGCTTACTAAAATGTATTTCCGTGCCTGAAGTGTCCCAGCCTACCCCACCACCGTGACCTGACTCTCAGTGTCACTGAGGACTTGGCCTAGAGTGGACCATGCTTGGGTCAGCAGAGCTCTAGGGAAAGCTGGCTTCTTTCTGGGTCATCAGATTTCTTCTTCAGACCTGGGAACAGCTTTCTGTCTTTCCTTCCTCACTAAGGAACTAGAAAGATTAGTGGCAACTGACTTAGGTTGGCATTTGGAGTATATAAAGCACTTTCACTGACACTGAAAGTATGATTCAGATTCAGGCCAAATATTAGAAGTCTGTTGATTCAACAGTGAGCAGTAAGGAAGGCAGGGCAGGATAGCCAGCCAGGGCGGGTGAGAGCTGGGTTTGAATGACTGGCCGTTCACACATCGGAGCTGCACCTGGTCTTAAAATTATTCCCTGCTCTCTGTGTGAAGCAAGTACACAGTCCTTTGAGATTTCTGAGGGTGTTGATATGATAATAGGGAGCTTACTGAAAGGCAAGGAAGAGGAAATTCATTTCCAGAAGTCTTTAAAAAACTGAGAGATGACTCACTCACCTTCTGGTATTTGTCCCAACATGAGGGGCACAAGCAGCCTTGCATTTTTCTTCTTTCCTACGTTTTCCCCTGCTGTTTGTTCATATCTTGAGAGTTCTGGTCAGCTGCTCTGCATACTCTTCTGTACTGGTTGAAGTCAAGGCTTGCTTTCTGATAAGTAGGCTGTGGCTTATACTCCCTTCTGTGTCCTTGGGGATAGAAGGTCTCCTAGTAGGAAGGTCGGGCCTGCGGGTCTACAACCGTCTGAAGGAGGATTTACTTTTATTCCACAGGGATCGCCTGGCTGTTCAGGAGACTCCTTTGTGATGAGAGACTGATCTTGGTCTTTTCCTCTGACTTGTCTGGGAATTTTTCTAACCACTTCATCTTCCATGGTTCTTATAGTGGATGTTTCTTGGGCTAACAGTCAGCCTGTTTGTTGTTGTTGTTGTTGTTGTTTTGCCTAGGGTTTCAGATAACAGATCTAGAGAGTGATTCTCTATTCTAGAATTCCCTTCTCACCTCCTTCCCTTTTCTCTCCCCTTCCTACCCCCTCCCCCTTTTCCTCCACTTTCTCTTCTTTGTCTTCCTCCCTCCTCCACTCTCTCCCTCCGCCCTCTCCTTGAGATTTCTGTCCTTAGTTCTTTATATGATTTCTCCTGGAGCAATTTGGCAAGGACATACTTTCACCTGTCAGTGAAACTTTATACAACTTTAAATTTTATACTCTGGTTTAGTGATTCTAAAAAGTTTGTGATTATGGCAGTGGTGGTGGTTCTGTTTAAGAATGTTCTAGGGGCACATTCCTAAACCCAACATGAGGCTCTTCTACCACCAATCATTTCTTTGTCAGTGAAAGGACACACAATGTCATGTGTCATATGTTTAGACAGAGAAAAAGAAATTAGAATCATTGTTTTACAATCATTAGCCTTGATTTCCCTTCTGTCCCTGGCACATATAAGTCATAATATTGGCTACCTATTTTCTTTTACTTGTTCCTAGTCCATATTACTAATATTGAGAGTAATCATAATGCGTTTATGTTGTGGCTAGTTTGAAAATATACCTCCATCACTGAATTTGTTAGTATAGCTAAGGACCATGGTTTTAATAGGGTAGACTACTGTGTCCCTTTTTGCTGTTTTAATATGGTGTTTTAATATGGTGCTCATTCTCATGCTTTTTGCTGTTTTAATATGGTGCTCATTCTCATGCTTACTTTTTAATTTGTGTTTATCTTTTTTGTTTTTGTTTTGTTTTATAGCGTCTTGCTCGAACTGGGATCATAGTGACTACGAGTGAGGCTGTTCTCTTACAGCTGGTTGCTGACAAAGACCACCCAAAATTCAAGGAAATTCAAAATCTAATTAAAGCGAGTGCTCCAGAGTCAGGTCTGCTTTCTAAAGTATAGGACGTTTGAACGACTGGTATGCTACTCACCATCAGGTGACAGGACTGTAAGCCCAGACACACTCTTGTCTGTACCAGAATTAAAATGTCAAGTCAAAAATTGGCTCTTTTTTTGCGCCTCTTAGTAAAACTTAACCAGTTAGACCATTTGGGTACCAGCATTTAGTTACAAATGTCAAAAGCTTCAGGTGCTGCTTACCTTCTTTGTTTCTTGATGTGCTTTTATTTATTTAAAAAAATTATAATGGAGGTGCCTGTTTTGTGTGTACTGTACACATTGATCATAACTTTCAAAAGTGCACATTCTTGTGAAGTTTTCTTCATTGTGCACTGTAAAGAAAAAGATGTGTTAATAATAGTTTGACTTTTGTATATGTATGTTGTGTTAATGTGGATTCAGTGTTTTTACTTTACATACAGGTTGATTGAAATAGGATTATTATATGAGACTTTAAAAACAGGACTCTGATTCGTATTACCCGTTTTCCTCATAATGCAGTCAGCTTATAGAATGAGTTGCGTTGATCTAACCAGATAAAATTATGTGGAATAATTACATATCTTTCTTGATTATGCTAATTTTCTTAATCACTAATTCTCTGTTAGTGTTCTCTTTTTCAACTGAATCTTTTCCTAGAGACTCATTGGGTCATTGCTTGTTTTAATTTTGTAAACAGATAGGATGATTTGCGATGCCATATTGGAGGACTGTTTTAAAATCTTTGAAGTATCATCACTTTAGCTGAATATCTTTACAACCATCTTTACAACCATGTTGAAAACGTCTTCTAATATGAACAAGATTATACAAAACGATAAAGCCTGGATAAAATGCAGTTTTAAAACATTCATATTTTTGTTTAATATTTTCTCCACCTCCCTTCCAATTATAATGATTTGGTAGTATTAATTTTGTAGTCATTGCTACCTTTCAATAAATTTATTTTCATTAAATACTTATTAGAGAGTTTAAAACTTTTTTAAATATACGAAATATAGAACATTGCTGTCTTTTATATTAAAGTAATTAAAGAAAATGTTTTATGTGAATGAAATTATTTTGTCCCCCACACTTGGCTCTATGAGTACTGTTCCAGATATTCTAATATTTATTTAAAGGTATAAAATTTTTGACATTTATAATCTTTCAGCTCATGAGAATTTTCAAAGAAGGAAAATCCTTTGCTGGCAGGAATAAATGGATTTCACTGAAGGACCATCTTCATGATTTAAGAGCCATAGAAATGTTGCTTTTGTCAGTGGTAACAGACAGCAACCTAGCATTCTTGTTGGTATGTTTAATACTTTTTTTCCAGGAAACTTATGTGTTAGAAAGAAGAATCAAAGATTTCTCCACACTTTAAAGTAGTTTTTAATATATTTAATTTAGTGCTTCTCAAACCTTAATATGAATGCAAATCACCTAGGGATCTGGTTAAAATGCTGACTGTGGTTAAGTAGGTCTGGCTTTTTGTTTCCCACAAACAAAAGGCCAGTTTTCACCAGTGCTGCACAAAGGACTTTGAGTAGCAAGGGTTTAACGAACAACACCTGTTTTCCTTCACTGCCCCAGGCCCTTCATTTCTCTTGAAATGCCACCACAGTGAAGCCTTTTAAGAGCTGAAACCAAGCCTGTGACCCTGAATTAGTTTCCTATGGCTACCATAACAAGTCAACACAAACTTAGTGGCTTAAAACAACACACATTTATTATCTTACAGCTCTGTAGGTTGGAAGTCAAATGGGTCAGTGGGTGAACATCTGTCTTCCCACTAGATTGTAAGCTCCTTGAAAGCAGGACCAGTGCATTTTTTTATACTTATTCTGGAAACGTATTTTGAGGACCTACTAACATTGTGCTATGCGTTGATAAAAAAGATGCCCCTAGGAAACTTAGGCTCTTGGTACAAAATTTGGTATATCATAACTTCTCCGTAAATGTGAGTTGAATTAAATTATGTCAAAGGTTCAGGAATGTCAGTTCAACATTAAAGTTCATACTCACATAATTGTGATTTCTGGCTTCTCACTTCTTTTTTGCACATTATGCAAAGGAGGGTGACAAGACCTTATTATAGGAAAATTGAATTGATTTCAATATATTAGGCTTTGAATTTGCGTATGTATAATTCTATAGGATACAATTTAACTGATGTAGAGAACATGAGAACATAAGCTATTGAATCTCAAGAGGGTTCGGAGCAGGATCAAGATGCTTCATTTAATGAAATGCTAAAACATCTGCAGAAACAATCTAGAATTAAAAGTCATAAAAGCGATAATTTATTCCAACTGGGAACCCAAATACCCTGTTGTATCCATTCAAATATCACATTTCTCACTAGGTGGGATATTTGTTCTTTTAAAAAGTTGATATTTGGGTAAATATGACTTTAGAGCTAGGGGGAACTTTGAAAATCATGATCTTGAAGGTCCATTTCAGGTGTAAAATTCTCAGATGGTTTTATTTTATAAAGGCAGCTAGTGAGGCCCAGAGGTAAATGCATTTCTAAAAATGCACAGGCGATTAAAGGCACTGTGGGATGGGAACCAGGTTACTTAACACATCAGCCTGTACTTCCTTATGTTAGTTGATAATGCTAAAGATCAGCAGAAGAAAAAAGGGAAGAATAGAAAGGATACATTTCACAATCTGTAAGACAGTACACGGTTTTACATTAGCGAAGCCAATGGGATACTCCCAGTGCTGATAGCTTTCCCTGTGCCACAATCTTCAATCTTTCTTTCCAAATGGTTTTCTAGTCGGGGGAAATGGCTGATTATATGAAAATTATCATAGTCACATAACAGCATATCAATATCTCCACATCACTAATGCCTCACTAACCTTTCATGGAGCATTATTGTCACTGTTTAACCCTTGATTAAAAAGAATTTAAAAATCACTAGGCTACCATAATGAGATATATCAATTACTTAGATATGATTGAAACAGATTTTTCAAATAATTGCAGTTGGCTTTTAGAATTCTTCCATGTTGCTTTTAAGCCTGAACAGCAGATATCAAAAAAGTTTATTTTTAAAAGATTAAGATCTGAAACGGTCAAGTAAAATAATCTGTTAATTCCTGTTGGAGAGATTATAATCCCGATGTGCCTGCTGTAGGAAACAACTGAAATGGCCCCCAAGGTTCCCACTCAGGTGTGCTCACAGCTTTTCCCAGTGAGGTAGGCAAAACTAATCTCAGTACAGCTGTAGCGAGTTTTGCTCAGGTGATTGAAGTCTCAAATCAGTTTGCCTTAAGATGACGAGATTGCCTGTGTGGTCCCGAGCTAATCAAGTCAGCTCTAAAAGGGACTGGGCTCTTCTGGTGAAAGAAATTCAATGTCAGAGGGATTCCATGCGAGGAAAGCTCTTCCCTGCTCATTTTGAAGATGGAGGGGAGTCTGAGGCTACAACTCACAGCCAACAAGGAAACAAGGAGCTAAGTTGTACAATCACAAGGAACCGAGTTCAACAACCAACCTGAGTGAGTTTAGAAGCAGGTTCTCCCCACAGCCCTGAGGGAAGAATGGTGGGGCTGACACTTTGATTTTTGCCTCCTGAGACCCTGAGCAGCGAAAGCAGTTAGGCTGTGCCTGGCTTCTGACCTACAGAACTGTGAGGTAATAAATTTCTCTTATTTTAAGCCACTAAGTTTGTGATACCTTGTGATAATGCAGCAAGTATAATAAGTATATTATATACTTAGTATATATACTAATTAGCATATATACTAATATACTTGCTTTCTTGATTGTGTTTTTTAAATTCGCAATGTTGTTTATATGAAGAAAAAGAGGAGGGAGATAAGTGGGATACTATCAAGAGAATAAGCCTATTTTAAATTCCAATTCGCTCCTATTTCCAGAGAAGGGGTGGGCAGGGAAAATATATGTCCTATAGTCCATTGTATTAATACAGCATTTTTTTTATGGTAAGGTTAAATTTTTGTATTTTCGTTGCAGAAAATAGTCAACTTAGAGCACATCTGTTATATATGAGGCTTAATTTCTTGATAAAATTGCTAGTTGCATAGTGTATTTTACTACTCTAAAAGTCACTTGGCCTCAGATTTGTTCATTGTTCTTGCAGCTGCTTCCTTGTTAAATTGTCCCACTTCAGACAGTAAATGCATGAAATGAAAAGTGGTGTGTCTTAGAACCTATAGTTAATACACAAGCACTCATTGGTAATGTATATTGGATGCATGCAGCTTTGAATTGGGCTTCTGGAAAATGCATATTGTACTTTCAAAGTAGCCTGTTTGGCAACCCCAACTAAGAATGTGGAATGCTTTAAAAATTGTGAGAAGCCTAGACTTTTCCAAGAAATTAAGACCCTAGAAATACATGAAACGTGAATGAAGAACGTAGGTATAAATTGTTAGTCACTAAAAAAATGTTAGCCACTACTCAGATGTTAGTGTCTTCTTGGTTGTATTGTTTTTATGCCAATAAGTGCTTTATTTACTTACTTATTTTGGAGAACTTGGTAAAATTTAACTACTCAGTATCCCACGACATCAATATTGGTTTTCAGGAATTTATTCCCACAGCTGAACAACATGGTTTAGCTACAACATTTGTGTGTGTGTGTCACACACACACACACACTCATTTTTCAAATTAAAAAAAAAAATTGTTGGAATTGTTGGCAGAGGGAATTATGAGAAAAGAGAAGAATGAGTTTTTTTCCTTTTCATACTGGAGAAAGCCACTGGTTGTGATGCATTGTAGAACTGAAAGCATTGAAATGACAGACCTGGCTCCATTCTTAATAGCTTTATTATTTGAGACAAATTTCATCCCTCAAGGTTACCAGCTGCATAAAAATAACACTGAGCAATGGCCCGGGAAGAAGTGTCCAGGGCCTTGAAGATGTGGCCTACCCAATAAGACATGTAGTAGTGCAAGAAGCCCAAGGGGGACTGTGTACTGTAGTTGGGAGGGCAGAGTCTGGCAGGGCATTGGTTCTTGTCCCAGCTCTCTCTGCAGCAGCCTTAAAGCCTTTCTGAGAGATTTCTAGGTTCTCTCATACAGGAAATGGAGTTGGATAATATCACAAAAAAATACCTACTTCTTTATCTAGATACTTGGTGTTACATGTTTCTGAAAACCTTCATTTAAAATAAGATCTACAGGTTGCCTATGGCTAAAAATTGAGCCTCAGAATTTTCACATAACCAAGCAACACAAACGCAATATACTCGATTGCCCTCAAGTGTTAAATGGATTCTATAGAAAATGAGTCATTGTAATTGTTCAATCAAGGATGCCCTATACAATTTAAAGATAAGTATATCTTAGAAAATGCAAACACAGTTATGAATGCATAACTAAGAAATATTACTCTTTGATAACCATTAAAAAATCCAATAAGGTATTAGACTAATAAGGTATCATGAGCATTTAAAAAATTATCTTTATGGAATGCCTGGATTGGCTTAGAGACATTTTAGGTTGATTATTTAAAAAATCAAATGAGAGCTCATCGTTTAGTCTTTTGAAAGACAAATTTTTATTTTAGATATTGGAATACTATGGATAAACAAATTTGCTAAATAGTATTATGTTTAGATCAGCTTGGTTGGTCAAAACTTCTCAAAGTAGGATAGCATCTCCTTGTTACTATTTGAAAAAATTCTGTATCGAAAGACCTAATGAAGATATAAGTGACAGATAGTTGGGAAGGGAAAGTGTTAAATGATTTCAGTCCATACTAACTTGCAAAATAGCAAAGCACAGTTCCTGGAAAAATCAATAATCGTGCATTCATTATTAAAATTTGGATTGTACACAAATTCTGTTTTGTCTAATTGGAATGCAGAACGATCTAAGTGCAGATGCGTAGGGCTTTATATTAACATCATTCAACAAAAGTGTTTCTGTAACTGATAGACTGACAAGCATAGGTTTTGAAGTATTTTAACACGTAAAAATGCAAGTAAACCTTAGCTACCACAAATTCTCTGGATTGAGTATATTTGGGTTTATTCTTTCAGTATGGCTTTGTTGATTACATGTGTTGTGAAAGC